GGATATCCACCTCCGAGTCGTCTGTAGGTCTGAACTCCCAAGAATTGTGCAAAAGTACCGGCGACAAACCCGCAAAAGACGGGGCCGTCCCTGGGTGGGCTCGAACCACCAACCTTTCGGTTAACAGCCGAACGCGCTAACCGATTGCGCCACAGAGACTCCGGTGCCACTTGGTGCGCCAGCTATAGCTTCTATGGGGAAGTGTAAAGGCAATGCGCGACTGTTATTTTCTCTGCTGTTTCCCGATTCATATTATTAAAATCAGAATCTTTCACTCAGTGTATCTACGTGTCTTCATTTTATTTTCAGCCTTTAAAGCATATTGGGAAGTTATAAAATACAGCAAGATCGAGCAGAATTTCAGATTGCAGCGTGAATTAAAATACCGTCGCTTTTTTGTTTGTTTGTTTGTTTTTTCCCCCAGCTCCCGTTTGGAACGTTCTGTTCCAAGAAGAGAACTATTTCTGATGTTTCCTTTTTATAGGGAAATAAAAAATTTAATCTTGTGAGCTGAGAAACTTGCCTTTTGTTTCAAACTCTTTGTCCAGTGTTTTGTTCGCTAATCTTCATGATTTACTTGTGTGGCATTCATAAGGTTATCTGAATTGTATTTATTTGCCTTCTTTATTTTTATTTTCCAGGTATTATTAAGTGCATATAGGCAATCCCCATTTGCTTGTCACGTACTGGCCTGCTTGCAATTATCTGTCACTGACATGTTTTTATTGGAAAAGAGCTCTAGGAAAAAGCTACATACAGTAACATTCATTAGTCCTGTGCATTCTAGTTCATTGCTAAATCGCCCTTAATGCTCCCTAAGATGTAGCCTAAATACGCACATTTGAGCCATGCCACTTGAAACACACGTCTCGCAGGATATTTATAGCCCAATTGAGGAAAAAGAAGTTAAGAAAAAAAGAATGATTTCTAACTCCTAAAAATCCCTAGCTGTTGACAAAAATCTCTGTAGATGCTCTCTCTGAAAATTTTCCCCTTTGTGTGACTATTTCCAGATGCCCGTTGAGGTACTCTTCAAAACGCTCAACACTCTTTTTTGCCTCTTCTCTCCTCAAATAACTGCTCGTTTCCACTTGACAACTCTGTATTTAAATTTTGAACAGTCACTACATTGCTTTGTCCAGAATGCCTGGAGAAAGAATTCGTTTTGTGATTTATAGAGGTTGTGGCTACATCCTCAGTCCAATCAACATTTGGAGTTCCTGTGGCTTGATAAGGCAATTTAAATTGGCTTTGGAAAACAATTAGCAGGATTCCTTGAAAGCACTGGGACATGAAACAGCTGTGAATTCACACCCAGCTGTACCCGTCGTCTTTAAACAAACTTTTTAGAAATGGACTCGAAAATTCTGAGTTTGGGGGGGGAAAAAATCCAGGAAGCGCTTCTAAAGAATAGCTAATGAGTTTTATTTCGTTTTATGCTGCTACCTTCACATATGATGAGAAACCTTCGTTTGTATTTTATGCACCTGTTATTGTGAGCTATGACTACCGTGCTGGTTTTACTTCTGTGGATACCAAAGTGAGTGTCCTTTCGGCTGCTGTTGTTCCTGTGTCTGTTCAGTGAGAGCAAACTGCAAGGAGGTCCCTCATCACCCCTTCATTCAGCATTAACCCTCCTGCTTAAAATAATATTGGAAGCTGTTCTTTTCATGTGAATACCTTCAGCTCTTTGGCTCACTTCAGTCATCATACGAACAGGTTAACTTCTAAAAAGAGAGACGATGAGAAGCGGCTGATGAGAAAAACTGATTCAAAAAGGAATATTAATTTGCATGCTAAAAATGTGTCTATGTGGAATGCCACATTTGTTTTTAAACTCAGTCTTGAGTCTGGTTCTGTTGTTCATATTTTTTAATAAAATAAATGGCTATTTCCACGGCTCATTAGCTTTGGCTCTTTTTTGTTTTTTGTGTTTTTTGTTTTTGGTGTCATTTCTTGAAAATACTTCAAAAGAACGTGTAAATATTAAATATACTAAATGGAACCTCAGTGTTTTGCTCCAATAATAAGCTGTCTATCAAACAGCTTTTATGCAAAATGCCCCCTTACAAAAATAAAAGTATGTATTGTCCTCTAAACCTTGGCAGTTATTTCCTCTTAGGCCTTCTATCTATGCCCAGTATTTAAACCCAAATTAAGCCCACTGGAGTAATTTTAGAAGCATACATTATCTTTTCTTAAATTTCAGGATAGCCTAAGATAAACAAGTTTTATGGCTTCGTTAGTACTTAGGTCTTTATAATTACTAAAAGTGAAAAGGACTGAGCATTTTGCCCCCTTTTTGTGTATCATACACAATTGAACTTTACCTCTTCCAAGAATGTGCCCTATCAAAGAGGCTGACCTGTGCAGATTAATGGGCCTATATATTTTATTTCCTTCTTAGAGGGGAAAAAAGAGAGAGAGGGAGAGAAAGAACATCTGTGCAAATGGGATCCACCCGTCTTACCAGACAAGGCAAGATGGACCACGTTGATTTATAGACCTTCCAGGTAGCACAAGTCCAATGCTTTCGAATAACGTGCCTCCAGCCTCAGACCAACAGAATAGGCAACTCACAGGATTCCCATTAACACACTGGTACATGACCTTCATTCTTTTGAATGACTGTATTTCAGAAAGATGGTGACTGAGTGGTTAAAAATGAAAAACCCAGTGGGTCAGGATTTTTGTGTAAATACAGCGAGTTGGAGAAATTATCTCAATAAATGGAAGATTGCGGCACCGGGAAACAAGTTAAAAGAGAACACTAAACCAAGTGTCACTGAGAGCAAGAAAACTATGAGACCAATTTCCAAAGCCATTGAAGTCATGTTTTAAAACTGACTTATAGTAGAGTTGAACCCTTGCGGCCAGTTTCAAGTTTAAATTCTATTTCCTACTCACAAAAAGTATCATTCAAAACTGTTGACTAAGGGCCAGTTGTCAGGTTAGCAGGCCAATGGCAGGGTCCAAAACACTGTTCACAGAGAACAATTGCTTCCACAGTTTACTGCTAAGGTGGGTCTACTCACAAACTAAGAAAATTAAGAAAGATATTTTAGAATATTGTGTCTTCATCACTTTTATTTTTTATTTATTTATTTTAAGAGAGAGAGAGAGTGCACGCGCACATGAGTCGGTGAGGAGCAGAGAGAGGGAGAGAGACAATCCCAAGCAGGCTGCCTGCTGGGAGATCAGGACCTGAGCAGAGAGTGAATGCTTAATTGACCAAGCCACCTGCTTGCCCCTTCTTCATTTTTAAAATTGTCTCTTTGCTGGAAAGTTTTGTGAAATTATTCAGATAATTATCTCCATTTCATTCTTTTTTAATGTTTACAGAGAGAGAGAGAGAGAGAGAGAGAGAGAGTGAGTGGAGGAGGGGCAGAGAGAGAGGAAGACACAGAATCCGAAGCAGGCTCCAAGCTCTGAGCTGTCAGCACAGAGCCTGACCTGGGGCTCGATCCCATGAACCATGAAATCATGACCTGAGGTCGGACGCTTAACCAACTGAGCCACCCAGGCACCCATGAATATTTCTGCATTTTAAAGCCAGAATTGGTAAAGAGCGTAATGGTTAAGTGCATGCATGCTGTACTCAGGCTGCCTAGATTGGAACCTAGCTCTATGCTTAATGGCTGTGTGCCATTGGGCAGGTCATTTAACCTCTCTGTGCCTCAGTTTCCTCAACTGTAAGAGGGAGATAATAATAGTATGTGCATGTTAGGATTCATTCTTAGCATTCATCTTGAGGGTAAAATCAGACAAGCACTTAGAACAGTTTCTGGCACTCGGAAAATACTATATATAGCTGGTTTTGTTTGTAATGTTGTATTTCAAACATAAAAATCTAGATCTAGCTTTTAAACTTTTTTCTTTTTTTAAGTAAGCTCTCTCCCCACTATGGAGCTCGAATTTACAACCTCAAGATCAAGAGTCACATGCTCTACAGATTGAGCCAGCCGGGTTCCCCCTTTCATAGTAATTAATGGTAGATGTATGATGGTTAGTTACTGAAGACAATGAAATGCTAGATTATTCTATGCTACTACTATTTGGGATTCACGGACCATGAGATCATGACCTGAGCCGAAGCGGACACTTAACCAA